CTTGGAGTGATAAGCGGCCCAGATGAAGCCACTCTAAACACATAAAATTCAACTTCTACTCGCCAAAACGTAGTATTATGCGACGAAAAAATTGTGACGCTAATTAAACCTAGCGTCTACAATTAAAAGTGGCGTTTAATGTGAAAAATTACAAAAATAACCTCATCATTTTTGAGAAACCACAGAAAAACCTAACCTAAAAACTCTTTTCATCAAATTTAATTTTCTCAATTGTCGACAAAAAACTTCTTTTTCTCTATATCTTTTCACGATAAATCTCTTTCTTCAGAACAATTTAAGATTTTGATTCTTCATATAAACCTATTTTCTCTCTGCCTCTGCTTCTTTGCATATTAGAAATTAGGTTTAGAAGCTCACGCACCCAAGTTAGTACCTCTCTCTTTCTCTCGCTGCTTATTTGCTTCAATGTTCTAGATCACAAGTAGGGTTTTCTTTGGCTACAGACCTTGGATTTTAGTTCTAAAACATGTTCTGGAAACTTGAAAGAAAAATCTTGCCATTGATATAAATATTGTCTTTTGGTTCATTTGGTTTGATGGGAATTTACTTTTAAAGTTAATTGTTAGCAGGATTGAGTCATTCTAGTTTTGTGTTGAGAATTTGGTCATAACTTTTAAACCGTAGATCCAAATCATGATCTGTATTTTCTTGTGGTTTCATATGTCTGTTGTGAAGTTTTCCACCAAGTTTCATAAGTTTTGGATGGGTTTGGGTCTCTGTTTGCACTCTGCATAAAAACAGAAATATTAGGATAGTTTGCAAAAAAGTGTTCAAATTAGATTCTCTCTTTGCATTTGCATTGTTCTGTTTTTATACTCTTTGTTCAAATATCATTTGTAAAATCTTCTTTTTAATGTGTTTTTGTTTAACTTTTTTTTTCCAGGTTACTACGCAAGTGTTTAGAAAAAAATGATGTAAGTGTTTTGGTTATTTTTTTAATGTTTGGTTTTGATCTTAGTGGTTTTGTTTCAGAGATTTTTTTTGCATTGTTTCTAAAATTGGTGAAGAAACTCAATTTTTTTTTCAGGAAAAAAGAGAAATAGAACGAGTATAGGAATGAACCAAACTAGGAAAGATTACATCATGAAGAAGTTCAAAGAGAAACGAAAGAGGGGTATGACAAATGGAACCCTTTTAAGAATAGGTATGACGCATGTAAGAAAAAATACACCACCTTTAGAATATTAACTCACAATAGGACTGGGGTTTGGTATGATGTTACGTGAAGGTTGGAGATGTCGGATGATTGATGAAATTATACTAGTGAAAAAAAATCGATATAGCCACTTGGATATTCGTGGCTGGGCTTTAAAATTCGTAGCTATTAGCCAATATAGCCACGAGTGTTCACGAAAAATAAACATGGCTATAGCTTCGTAGCTTATTTGAATTTGTGGCTTTTCCTGGCTGTGTAGCCACGAATTTGTCACACGGGTTCCGTAACACAGATTAGTCACGTAACAACCACATAATATTAGTGGCTAGTTTTGCCACAAATTAGTCACACTATATTCGTGATAAAATATAGCAAATAAGGTTAGTGGCAATACCGTGGCATTATTAATAAGCTACAAATTTAAATAGTAGCATTATCGTGGCATGTTGTAGCCACAAATGTTTTTAAGCAATCGTGGCTATATTGGTTGTTTTCATTTCCGAATTTGTCAAATAAAATTCATGGCTAATTATATATTAAAAATTATTATTTTTTAAAACGTAAATAAATATTAGAATTAAAACCTGAAATTTAAAAACTACAATTAAACCATTTTGAAATTAAATCCTAATATTAGATTAGCAAATTAAGTTAAGTAGTTTACAATATTACCAAAAGGTTTCAAAAGGCCTAAAACATAAACCTACTTATAATCCTAATGAAGTACACCATTCCATATAAGAACCTCAAACAGCGGGAGCAGCAGCGGCAGCGACATAACTAGGAACAACTGCAGGTGGAGAGACAACTAGAGGTGGAAGAGGTTTAAAAGTTGTAGTGACCCTGTTGGTCGAGTGAGCGTGTCGAGTAACACATAATTTCTTCTCTTCATCATTACATACTCGACCACGTATCTCGAGTGAGCGTGTCGAGTGATCTGTGAAATCATCTGCTACTCTTCTACTTTGCTCGATCGTGTCACTCGAGTACGCCCACCGAGTGACAGTTGATTCTGTTTTACATTCCCTCAGTTCACTCGATCATCCTCACGATCCGCTACTCGATCCGCCTACTCGGTCATGTGCATCGAGTGAAGTATGTTTCTGCAATGTATCTTCGCTTCTCACTCGATTTTCCTACTCGATCATATGCATGTCGAGTAAAGCTCGTTCCTCTGCTTCGCTCTGCATGTCTCCTAAATACCTGAAACACTCCAAATATGCAGAATGTATGCAAGACATGCATGATATGCATAAAATCTACCTAAGTATGTAAAACATGCATAAAGGGATCAATATGATGCGAATCAACAAGTGAATGATGCTGAAAAGATGATGAATACATGCTCAAAAAGTGATGAAATACAGACTTATCAACTCCTTCAAACTTAGTCTTTGCTTGCCCTCAAGCAAAGCAAAAGAAACAAAGTGGAAGAGAGGTTTGAAAATGGGGTCTCAGAACCTGTAACTTGCAAGATAGAGCAGATAAAATCAATGTCTTGGTTACTAAGTCTTTGATGCATGCTGAGAGAGCTTTACTTAAAGACTTTAGACAAACTCATCAAATCCGAAATTGATACTATCCCTTGATCTACACATGCATTCAAATCATTCATTCATTTTAAAATTCATTACTCAAGAATATGAATCTGGTTGTGCAAGGCTTAACAAACTCACTTGGCTAGGCAGAAAAAGGTTTTGAGAATCAAGAGGGTTTAAACAATTTCAGGACGAGGATCTCTCAATGAATGGATTGAGCTTTAGGGAGAATGCTAAAGGTGAGGACCAACAAATGCATACATGAATAAAACCTTGACTACCCAATGGTTCCCAAGTGCTTACTCCTAATCATCTAAACCCAAATGATCCCTATGTCTACCCTTCAACATCAACCCCAATCAGAGCTACTCATGATTTTAATCCTGTCGGCTCATACCTAACACGTTCTCCCCAAGCATAATCCGGTAAAAGACCTACCACTAAAAAATTATCAATTGGCTTGAAAGAAAAGGATATGTTGTGGGTATGACAAACTGATCAAAAGAAAGATCAGCTATTTGGATCAACAAGAGTGGTGAAAGGAGGAAGATGATCCAAATATGTATATGTTAACCATGAGCATGCAAGCAAAACACAACCAGATATTTGCAAGTCAAAATTAAGTTCTTATAAGGTAAGGAATGAGATCATATCACAACATGTTTCAACCAAATTCAAGAATGCTCTTCATGAATTCCAAGTTTATTTCAGACTTACTTCAAGTTCAATCATCATGCATCAAAGAGGTAAAAACCAGGGCATGGATCTCAACTAGTGAATCATAGCAAGTTAACAAGGTGTAAATCATCATCGCCCCCTATGCTATTGCAACAGTCCTACATGAAATAATCTAGACTCAAACCTAATATGCAAATGCAAGCTACATGATCACTCTGTTTTTAAAGATTTTTTTCTGAACATATTTCAAAATTTTAGGGGTTTTCAATGCACACATATGAATGCAGATTATATGCTAAAAATTTGAAATAAGAAAAGAGAACACAACATCAAATGTCATCCCAAACCCTTGGTAGGTGCTGAAATGTCTGGGATCTAATTCCAGTTGATCAGAGTGGAATTAGCTATGAATACTCGAATCCAGAAGGGAACAAACGAATCTAACTTAAACACTCTAGCAAACTAACATTCTCCACCTAATTTATCCCATCCTGAAAAATCCTAACACTAGTCAGACACATAAATCATGTTAAACATCATAAACCCAAAATCGTTCAAAACATGCATAATAATAGAGATGACGGAAAGATAAAAAAAAATAATCAAAGAACTAAGTGCAAACTCTTAATAACTTCAAAGAAATCTGAATTACAATTCTCTGGATTGTTTGGTGGCTAACAACAAAACCTAATGAATAAAACTCAATCCCCTGGACAATGCCAAAAGAGACCTATTTATAGCAATGTTTGGGCAAAACTTAAAACATAAAACGACAAAGTAAAAAGCGGTTTAAAAGTTGTAGTGACCATGTTGGTCGAGTGAGCGTGTCGAGTAACACATAATTTCTTCTCTACATCATTACATACTCGACCATGTATCTCGAGTGAGCGTGTCGAGTGATCTGTGAAATCATCTGCTACTCTTCTGCTTTGCTCGATCGTGTAACTCGAGTATGCCCATCGAGTGACAGTTGATTTTGTTTTGCATTCCCTCAGTTCACTCGATCATCCTCTCGATCCGCGTACTCAGTCATGTGCATCAAGTGAAGTATGTTTCTGCAACGTATCTCTACTTCTCACTTGATTGTCCCACTCGATCATATACATGTCGAGTAACGCTTGTTCCTTTGCTTCGCTCTGCATGTCTCCTAAGTACCTGAAACACTCCAAATATGCAGAATGTATGCAAGACATGCATGATATGCATAAAATCTACCTAAGTATGTAAAACATGCATAAAGGGATCAATATGATGCGAATCAACAAGTGAATGATGCTGAAAAGATGATGAATACATGCTCAGAAAATGATGAAATACAGACTTATCAAGAGACATCCATAGTAGGAGAACCAACAGCAGCAGACGAACTAGCCGAGGTAGGAGGAGCAGTAGTAGGAGGAACATGAGGAGTAGTAGGAGGTAGAGGAAATCCCATAGAATTCAAAACGTGAGAGAAAATATGTCGTTGTGCAGCCAAATTGTCCACTACCTTATCCATGCCAGCCTTCAACACATTAATGTCACCCTTGAGCTCCTCATTGTGTTCCTTGAGCGCCTCGTTGTTCTTCTCCAGACCAATGATGCGCATCTCATTGTCAAGGTTGCGAGCCATAGAAACGCTTTTATTTGGATGGAATGATTTCCCGGTATTGTACGCTGCCTAATCCGTAGATGTACCCACTTTTAGACGTACTTATCTATGAAAGAAAAAGAATAAACAAGACTCAACAAACATTCAAAATCAAACACAACTTAATGGATATCCAAACTGAAAAGCTTACCAGCTTATAATCAATACTTGCAAATGCTCGAGGGCCAGCACAATGCTTATGAATACCTCGATTAAGAGGATCAGACATGCGGCTTCCAGCTACGGACTTGCTCTGCTTTTGAGCTGGTTCTGAATCTTAATACTCCATTAGGAGGTCCCAATGCTCTTGAGTAGAGTATTTGGGTTTCTTGTTCATCCTCTTCTTCTTGCTGATGCGGTCACCAATTGATTTCATTGTCTTTTTCTTCCAATGTAAGTAGACTTCATCGTAGAAACGTTGTTCCCAGTAGAATTGTTGCTACAAAAAAAGCAGAGATTAGTAGTTTGAAAGAAAGTAAAGAAAACCCTTAACTTAGAGCAATTAAAGAATTATTACCACAAAAGTGTGCCACCAAATTTTTTGCCTATCCTCAGGAACATCTTACCAATTTTTCCATGGTCCCATGAAATTGCTTTGCCATATTGTGAGAACTGATTTGTATATAGAAGGATCAACACCAAACCTGAGAAAATATAATGAAACAGATAGTGAAGAGAACCTTCACAGATTATACAAATAAACAAGCATATTTTATGTTATTATGAACTTATCATAAAGCTCCATTGATATTTCTTGGGTGGAGGTGCGGCTTAGACTCTCTTGCAGGAGCTGAAAGTAGTGCATCAAGCGTTCTTTGACTGTAATTGTTTGCGTATGAAGAAGCAGCGCTTGTAGGAGAACATGTGGGTGTTGCAGCTTGATTTGGGATGGCTCCAGGAGGTGTCCTCATCCTTCTTAAAAGCAGCTCTTAAGACAGAAAGCAAAAGAAAGTTAGAATCAGTTTAAATCATCATCTCAAACAAAAGTAAAGACACATAACTTAGAATACGACCTATCCATTACAGTCTTCTTGTAAGGGAGAAAGAAAACTTGCACACACTGAGAAATAAGAATGAGAAGCAAAAACTTATTTATATATTAAAAAATTTCACAACTAAATCAAAACTAAACCTTGCCATATCAGGAAAATTTTTATCTTCAGGTTAGCTAATTTTGGTACCTTTAGAGGCTGTGTTAATTGTACACAAGTTGTGATGGTCATGCATTTTCCAGCGATGTGCCTCAAAGTTTACAATACAAAGGAATCAACACCATTAACCAGCAGTTACAAGCAACAGTTACCACTAGGCTTTCTATATTAGTACATGCATATATATGAGACATAGAAAACAAAACATAAAACAAAACCAAACATGTGAACCCATACGACACAAAACCAAACATGTGAACCCATATGACACAAAACCAATCATGTGAACCCATAAGACACAAGACATGAATCTCTAACCAAGCATGTAATCACTTCTCCAGTTTAAAAATCAGATATAATCAATATAAAATCATGTAAAGCTAAGTTTAACTCTGCTCTTAACATGGAAACAAACTTAACCAATCTTAGCAGGGAATCAAACTCAAACAAACTTAAAAAGCAACTGTGTTGTCAATTAATGTTAAACCAGCAAAGAAATTAGAATTGAGAAGAGACAATATAGAGAAGAAGAGACAAACCTACTGAATATATAGAAGAAGAGACAAAAAAACCTTGAAACCAGTGATTATATGACCCAAAAGAATAACATTTTGATCGGATAGTAGTACTAGTATTAGTTTAGACATTTAACACTAGTTAATCTTTATTAATACATTTTGTAACACAAATTAATCTGAAAAGGTAGAATAGTGAGATGAGTTGATGGAGTACAATTGTTGGGTCCATGAACTTTCTGCCTTTTCTCATTTTCACCCATAATCTTTAGGAGCAATAAAAGAAAGACAAAACAAAAGTATAGAGAAGAAGAGACGAACCTGCTGAATCAGAATCAAATGGCCGTGGACGACGCCGGTCTTGAGGTTGACTAGAGAGAGGCATGATGATTCGAGGAACGCCAACATCCACAATGGAAATTGATAAGATTTTGTGGCGGCATTAATCTGAAAACCACATTATATATATAAATAATAAATTATAATCGATATAGTATTAATTAACTAAAAATAATCATATCCTAATTATACTTACATAGACTTTACACCATGTTGCAAAGTGTTCGTGTTTCGCTTTTTCCATTTCTTTCCTTGTCATTTGTGGGTTACTCTCCGTCATATACTCTTCGAACATCCTGTAATTATAGAATGGGTATAAAAAATTATATATACATATATATATATATATATATATATATATATATTTATATATACTTATGAAAATACTAGAAAATTCATACTACTTACCGTTCAAAAGGTTCAAACTTGTCAAAGTTAAGCATTAAAAAAGTTTGGAGCACTGTATAGTCATGATCATTTAACCACGCATTTGTGCTTTTTTCCACTAACACAACCCTCATGATAGAATGAGCTTGGGACATCGGAATAAAAGTATGTAAATCGTATTTCTCCTTGAGCAGGAATAACATCATCTCTAACTTCTGGATGTCCAAAATAATTAGCAGAAGCATTTGCTATCTCTTCATTCACGCATTGTGCAACAATCGAACCTGTTATATGTGCCTTGTTCTTAACTTTCCTCATTAAATGGTACATGTATCTCTCGAACGTATACATCCACCAATATTGCACTGGACCTCCTAAAGCAGCTTCATCTGGTAAATGAATGGGAAGATGTTCCATAACATCAAAGAACGATGGCGGAAATATCTTCTCTAAATTGTAAAGTTTAACAGAAATTTTTCTGTCAACAAAGCAACATTATCTTTCTGTAAAATCTTTGCTGATATATCCCGAAAGAATAGTGAAATATCTACAGATATACAAAATTAAATTAAATTACTGATATAAGTTTTTAAAAATGTGCAGAGTCTATAGAAAAAAAATTACATGAAATGGCAGTGTGAATGCAAACGGAAGTAGTCGTTGCTTGATGACGTGGCAATCATGGCTTTTCAGTCCAGATAACTTCCAATGGTTTTCGTCCACACAACGATTAAACTTTGATGCATATCCATCTGGAAGCGTATCTCATTTTTCATCCACAACATACATATTCTTTTTTTTTTCATTTGACAACCTAAAGATAAGCACCGGCATTTTTCCAACTCGGGTAAGATGTAATTCATTTCTTCTACATAACGCGGGAAGATCCATCCTTGATTTTATGTTATCTTTGGTTTTCCCCGGAACATTCAAAACTGTGTTGATGAGATTATCGAAGAAATTCTTCTCAATATGCATGAAGTCAAGGTTATGTCGAAGAAGTAGATGTTCCCAGTATGGCAACTCCCAAACTATACTCTTTTCACCCAGTTATGTTCAACCCCATAACCATTGATAGTTTGAGCAGGCTTCTCATGTCCGCTCCCTCCACAATCGACCGTTTTAAACAACCCAGTAATGTTGTTTATTCTTTCGTGAAGAATTTCTTCTCTAGTCAACCACGGCAGAGGATCATCGGTTTTCTCTTGTCCTCGGAGAAATGCTTGAACATTTCGCATGTAAACATGATCTTTGTCTAACCAATTATCCTCGCAAACATCAATTTTATAAACCGGTAGGCCAAACATCAATTTATTTGTCTTGTAGTATGATGTCGGAGCTTTGTTTGGTGTAGGTAAAACAACATTAAAAGTTTGAGATAGTTCATCTACGCAAGCCTCCACCATGTTGTAATCAGATTTTGCTTTCAACATACGTGAAGACATATATAACTGAGAAATTCTTTCTGGACATCCATCGTAAAGTGGTTGCTTAGAGGCTTCAAAAGCTTCGAATATGCTATCATGATATGGTTCTTCGTTTCTTGTTTCCATCGTGTCCTGTAACACATGTGGAACCCCCATATGTTTTTGCATGTTGACATCTCACTACAAGAAAACCTGCATTTTGGGACTAAACGTTGTGACGCTTATTTTAGTCGCAAATATAAGCAACCATTTTGCAACGTATCAGAGACACTTTATCGACTACACCAATAATCGAAGCAAAATCGTCGCAAACTTGCGACGACAGCAACAAGTCGGTAACGCGTCTCTTATGTGCGACGCGTAACCGACGATGGCGTAACCAATCTATATGGTCGCAAAATAACAACAATTTGAGACTATTAAGTAACTAGACTTGTAGTAAGAACGAAGAGTAGCAAATTCGCGTCTTATTTGCAACAATAATTTGGTCACAAAGTTGTTTATATTTTTGTTATAATACTCAAGATTAAGATTATTTTTATTTGTGTTATATGCATAGAAATGTTCAGAAGATCTAAATCAATTTAAAGTGTTACAAGTTATTTTATAAGAAGGTGTGTAAATTTGTGAAAATTTCATTAAAAAAAACAACTAATACAATGTTTGAGACTCTTAAACTGTTACAATATACTCTAGAATAACATCATAAGTTCTTAATAGTGCTTGGGTTCATCAGTTTGGATCAAAATGTATAGAATTCAAAATTTTGTTTTGTGACTAAGAGATAACTGTCACAAAACGGTAACGGTTTGCGACGAATGTGTAACGAATTGTGCGACTAACACCTGAATTAGATACTAACTTGCGACCGTTTACTAACGCTCGACGGTCACAAAACCATAAGAGGATTGTAAACATGCTTGTGTTTATTTATTTACGTTGATATGATCAGAATCAATCACAAAAACATTTTAAAACTTTTCATTTGAATATTAAAATACGAAATTTTCAGAATATGTAATCAATTTAATAAATTACATGTTACGTTATAAGAAGGTTTGTAGTTTTGTGATATTTTCATAAAAAAACCTACTAAAACAATGTTTGATGCTCTTAAACTGTTAGAATATACTCTAGAATACCATCTTAAGTTCTTATTAGTGGTTGGGTTCATTAGTTTTGAACAAAATGTATAGAATACAAAATTTTGCTTTGTGACCAAGAATATTATGTCACAAAGGCGTAGCAGTTTGCAACGAATGTGTAACGCGCTTTGCGACTAACACCTGAATTAGATACTAACTTGCGACTATTTAACAACGCTCGACGGTCACAAAATCATAAGAGGATTGTAAACATGCTTGCATACGTATTGACGTTGATATGATCAGAATCAATCACAAAAACATTTGAAAAACTTTCCATTTGAATATTAAAATACAAAAATTTCAGAATATGTAAATCAATTCAAAGAGTACATGTTACTTTATAAGAAGGTTTGTAATTTTGTGACATTTAAGAAAAAAACCAACAAAAACAATGTTTGATACTCCTAAACTGTTACAATATACTCTATAATACAATCATAAGTTCTTATTAGTGCTTGGGCTCATCGGTTTTGATCAAAATGAATAGAATTCATAATTTTGCTTTGTGACCAAGAAAGAACTGTCACAAAATCGTAGCAGTTTGCAACGAATGTGTAACGTATTTTGCGACTAACACCTGAATTAGATACTAACTGGCGACCAATTACCAACGCTCGACGGTCACAAAACCATAAGAGGATTGTAAACATGCTTGGGTTTACGTATTTACGTTGATATGATCAGAATCATTTATAAAAACCCTTTTAAAGCTTTCCATTTGAATATTAAAAAACAAAAATTTCAGAATATGTAAATCAATTTAAAGAATGTTTGTAATTTTGTGAAATTTTCATAAAAAACCAACAAAAACAATGTTTGATACTCTTAAACTGTTACAATAACCCTATAATACAATCTTAAGTTTTTATTGGTGCTTGGGTTCATCAGTTTTGATCAAAATGAATAGAATTCATAATTTTGCTTTGTGACCACGACAAAACTGTCACAAAACCGTAGCAGTTTGCAACGAATGTGTAACACTTTTTGCGACTAACACCTGAATAAGATACTAACTTGCGACCATTTACCAACGCTCGACGGTCACAAAACCATAAGAGGATTGTAAACATGCTTGTGTTTACGTATTTACGTTGATATGATCAGAATCATTTATAAAAACGCTTTTAAAGCTTTCCATTTGAATATTAAAATACAAAAATTTCAGAATATGTAAATCAATTTAAAGAATGTTTGTAATTTTGTCAAATTTAAGAAAAAAATCAACAAAAACAATGTTTGATACTCTTAAACTCATACAATATACTGTAATACCATCATAAGTTCTTATTAATGCTTGGGTTCATCAGTTATGATCAAAACGAATAGAATTCAAAATTTTGCATTGTGACCAAGAACAAACCGTCACTAAACCGTAACAGTTTGCAACGAATATGTAACGTATTTTGTGACTAATTACCTGAACTAGATACTAACTTGCGACTCATGTGCTACGGTTCTCTTTATTTTTCTAATTTTTTGTGAAATTTGGCTAAGTGTTGAGCGCGTTATCTTCCCCCCCTTTTTTTACTTTGTCTCTCTTTTGTGACTAATTTGAGACCCCCTTTCGTTAATAACAAGGAAAAAGACTTAAACGTTTTCTCATTTATATCGATCGTTTCTCAAAATCGATTTAGGATTTCTCAAAATTCTCTCAACTTTCTCCTCTTCTCATTCTCTTCTGAATCGATTCTTCTCTAATGGCTGGTAAGGGAAAGTCTACAAGAGGTCGTGGAGGCAAATCTGCTGCTGGTGTTAAGGTCTTCCATGGTGAGAGTTCTCGGGGAAGAAAAGGAGCCACAATTGTTCAGGTCCAGAATGTTGAGAGTTCACGCGGAAGCAGAGAAGCCAGAGGAGTTCGGATCTCTTCTGGTGAGCATTCACTCGGAGGTGAAGAAGCCAGAGGTGTTCGGATCTCTTCTGGTGAGCATTCACGCGGGCGTAGGAGTGGTATCGGAGCGTCTTCTCACTCCTCGGTGGCTCGATCGGAGTCACAGTCCGTGACCCAGTCAAATAGACAACTTCCGACACAATATCCAGCCAGGGTACAACCACCGTCTCGTATTCCTCAACGTGCGCCTCATGCTCCTCAACCAGTGCTGGAGGAAGATGATGAAGAGGAAGATGAAAATGATGAGAACCATGATCTTAGTCCTGCTGAAGAAGAAAATCCCGAGGAAGAAGAAAACCCTAAGGACGAAGACAGCCAAGCTTTGTTAAACCGTTTGCTAGCTCTTCCAGGCCGACAACATCTACCTCTTCTATCAAAGGATCCTATCCCAGGCGTTGAGACTCTTTGGTAATGTCTCTCCTTTTCTCTTTTTCATATCATTTCTCATATGAGTTTGAGGAACATAACTTGTCTGCTTTAGTCATCTAGAAAAGTAACTAATTGCTGCTTGTTTGCTTTATTTTGATCTCGGAACTTAACTTTTTTGTTGGACTCTTTCTAATTCTTTGTTGCTTCAATAAGACATTAATGTCAAATAGCAACAATACAAAATGTGAGTTTGCAACACTCAAATAGCAACAATACAAAATGTGTCTCAATTTTGTTGCAACCTGATGATTTGCAACGGTATTTTGAATTATTATAACAATTTTTGGTGTTGCAATATCACTATTTCCTTGTAGTGATTAGTTAGATGAAATGAGTTTAATAAGGACTGATTCTAGCAATATCTTGGTGTGTGGTGTCATGTAATGTCTACTACTCTCTTTAATAAGGACTAATACTTTTTTTTGTGGCAGGTTCAATAGGCACAGAGGTATACTTTCCCGAGCGATTGCTGGAATATTTAGGAGGAAATTTGATGGTCCTTACTACAGTTGGAAGGTTACTCCTCCATCCATTCGAGAGAGATATTTCAGGACTTTTGCGGTAAAATGTCATATAGCTTTAAAAGTGTTATTATCACTCATGAATGACTTAGTATCTTTGCTTACTTAACTCTTTTGTATTATGTAGCGGAAGTTCAACTGGGATAGTGATATTACTGAGCTTGTTAGAGATGGATTCTTGGTAATAGCCAAGAAGCGGATGAAAGGCATTGTGACTCAAGCTAAGAGAAGTGGTACACAACCTATTTGGATTACGAATACACTGTGGGCTACGATGCTTGTTCATTGGAAGGACCCTGATGTAATAGAGAGGAGCTCAAATGCTTCACAGAGCAGAAACTCCGATCGTGGCGGTCTTGGAGTCCACAAACATCTATCTGGTCAGAAATCATTTGTACAAGTTCATCAAGAAATGGTAATACTTCTCTGTCCATCAAAACAATTCACTGCACTTATATTCAGATATTGGTTTCTTGATTTTAACTAGTTTCATTTGCCTTGTAAGAGGAAGAATTAGGACGCCCTGTATTACTTGGCGAAGTGTTTATGCGAACACATACTCGAGCTGACGGATCATTTGTTGATCAAAAAGCTAAACAAGTAGCTGAGCACTATGAGAAGACGTTAGAAGAGAAGCTGTCTGAAATTGACGATGATGGTCCAGAAACTTCTTCTGAAAATTCAACTCAACGTACTCTAAGCATTGGTGTAAAGAATGAGATCTTTCTTATGGTAATTCTGTAGTACTCATAATTTGTTAAGCATATGAGGCTTGTTTGTTATTGGTGTGAATTTCTTTGTGGTTTTTCATCTCTTTATGTACATGATAAACGTATGATACTTGTTGTTGGTGTGAATACTGATGGTTCTCTATTTGGTCTGAATTTTTTGTTGCTGGTCTGAATTTTTTTTTGTTTTGTTTTGCTGGTCTGAATTCTCTGTTGCTGGTCTGAATGTTGTTGGTTTTAAAATTGGTTTAGTTAAATTTTGTTTGTTTTAGTGTACTGAAACAGATGAAAAGGGCAACCCTTTTGGCTTGGGATCACTTGTGGAGACACTGAAGAAAGGGAAAAGAAAACAAGCTTATGAAAGCTCTTCTTCATCAACAGTTTTGGAGCTTCAAGAACAACTTCGTCGCAACATGGCTCATCATGAGGCTGAGAATGCACGACGTGAAGAGGAGCACCGACAAACGCAAATGCAGTTTCAAAAGCTTTTCCTCTACATGAAAGGCAAAGATCCAGAATTTGCATCTTTTCTGGTTTCTTCTCCAACTGTACCTGCAACCACAGCTGACACCACACCTGCAGCCACCGGACAACCAGCCACTGCACCAGCCACTGTGACAAGTACTGAGCCAGCTGCCGTGACAGGTTCTGCACGTGCCACCTCGTTTGGCACCACACCAGTCCCATAACCCCATTATCTCACCTTCCTACTCATAAACATGATATGCTTAACTATTTGGTGAACTTTTTGTTATGAAAAAATAGGATGTTTATTGTATGATTAGGATGATGGTTTCTTTGTTAATTTATGATTAGGATGATATTTATTTTAATTAATTGGGTTTTAAATGTTGTATTTCGTCATTTATTTAGATTGGTAATCAAATTAGGTCAATTAAACAAGATTCTTGGATGCCAAAATATCACCAAATTGTGACCATTTTAAATTCAATATACAACCCAACTAGTTGCACAAATGTTACAATATCAAACGACTTTCAGACTGTATATATTGGGTCATAAATTAGTCGCAAATTTTAAACACACATTTGTGACTGTATTGTAACTAAAAGAAGTATTACGTCTGATTATTAAAGGTCTGTAAAACGTCGCTTATTAACGACTATATCTTGCAGTCATAGAGTGGTCGTACATTTGCGACTATTTCAGGACTAATATATTTAGCGACCATTTTTTAGCGATCATCTGTTATAGTCGTTAAGTAGTCGCGAAGTAGGTGTTTGCGACCATTTTATGACATTACTCGGAGTCACAAATGACGTGTTTTCTTGTAGTGTCTCCATACAGAAAATACTCGTATGTATTTTCTGGAACATGATAATTTGTAGCATTTGGTGGCCATGATGCTTCTTCACCGGTAAAATGACTTGTTCCCGATAATTCTCCAACGTCATAAAAATGTACTTCATGGCTCAACCAAAGATAGTAATTATCCATACACCCCAATCGCAAAAGATGTTTGATGATTGTTTTTGCATCATGCTGCTTTCCATTTTTACAACGTGCACAAGGACATAAAATAGTGTTGGTCTCTTCGAAAGAAATTTAATTACAAGCAAACTGAATAAAAACGTTAACCCCCTCAGAAAAGATCTCCGAAACACGATTTGTTAATGGATCAACACGTTGATCCATCCATTCTCGATAATCAAAATAATAAGACATCTGAGAGATGATATTCGAAACAAAGAAACGAGAAAGATGAGATTTTTTTTACTTCTCTTATGTGGTTTGAGTGATGGAGAATAAATCGCATTTGTTGGTTTTATAGAAAATTTAGCCATGTAACTGCGACGTCCAAAATTGTGGCTAATATTTTAAATCATTGCCGACAGTGCTCGATGGACAACTTGGCTGAGGTGACTAAAGGGAGGATAAGATTTTTGGTGTTTGACACTCCACAAAAAGATGTTTAATCGGTGGAACAGCTACAATACAACAATGTTTGATTATCATGGCTATATAATAGCCACAGTTAGACCACATATGTATTTTGTCGGTAAATACAGCTACTCTTTATCTACGTTGTAAATCCGTAGCTAGATTAGCCAGGTATTAACCACATTCTTTATTTGTGACTATAACTAAGCCACGAAATATCCACTAAGCAAATCTGTAGCTAGATTTAGCCATGCAGTAACCACATTCTTCATTCGTGCATTCGTGACTATAATTAAGCCACGATATATTTACGTTTATTTTTGTGTGGCTATTATGATTTTAGCCACGCCATCTCATCGCAAAAACGTAGCTATACGTTTTTATTTACTAGAGAAACAATGTATAGATGTACTTATTTCAGTTTGTTTCATAGTCACTTGTTTCAGTTTCATATTCAGTTGTTTCAGCGTCACATTCACTTCTTTCAATTTGATTCATAGTCACTATATTACATTGCAATGACTTGCTCATAAGTTTTTTTTTCTAATGAAATAAAGACGTGTACTCCAAGCTAGCTCACTGTGTTTTCTGTCGTGGTCTTTGTAAATGAATTGGTCTTACTTCCACCATGATTTATATTAATAGCAAAGAGTATGATTATAATTGATGCCTAAATTATTGCATATATGTGATACATATTTGTTTCCGCTATATAAGAATGGGGTGGAACTAGTAATTCAACTGCAAACTGGTTGTTCATATGGATATGTATGAACAAGAATTGCGTGTTGTGGTTGTAATCAGAGTTGAAGGATGGAGCACTCAAACTGGAGAAGCTAGTTTAAACTCTACAGTGGATAGAGATGATGATGATGATGAAGTTGATTCCGTTGACAAAAATATGTTAGTGCCAATGGTAGAGAAAACAGATCAAGTACAAACCTAGCCACAAACTCAAAATGGAAATTCAAGAGCAATAAAAAGCGTAAAGAGAAGGATATGGTTGTTGAAGCTGTTGTAAAACAAACTGAAACTCTTGAGAAGAAGAATATAGAGATGATGATGATGATGATGAAGTTGATTCCGTTGACAAAAATATGTTAGTGCCAATGGTAGAGAAAACAGATCAAGTACAAACCTAGCCACAAACTCAAAATGGAAATTCAAGAGCAATAAAAAGCGTAAAGAGAAGGATATGACTGTTGAAGCTGTTGTAAAACAAACTGAAACTCTTGAGAAGAAGAATAAAATAGCAGAACAAATGTTGGAGTGTGAACATGCATCTAGTATTGAGAGTGTACTAGAGACACTTAATGCATTTGCTGGAGTTAGAAGGTGGTCTCCATTTCATGTTTGCGATCTGTGATCGAGAGGACAATTGGAGTATGAAAAGCAAAATAGAGGATTTGGGATGGTAAGCATCCAAAATATGGTCTGACTAAGTAGATTAAGCTTGTAACAACAACGATGGCACTAAAAAACTTCATACGAGATTCACCTTGGGAAGATGATAATTATTTGCATTGGCAAAGAGTAGAAGAATATCCTGGTGAAAAAGAAGATGAAGGAGAAGGAGAAGGAGGAGAATAAGACGGACAAGAGGCAGAGGAAGAAGAAGAATGACATATTGCATATGACCCGACTGGTGATCGAGCGATGGAAGCTTTGTGTAGCAACATTACTAACGAATATGGTAAAGGGCGTTTACCTTATAAGATATTTTTGCTATTTTTCTTTATAACTTCGTTTATTATTTAAGTTATTGACTTCGACTATCTTTTTGCTTAAACTACTTGGTGTATTAGTTTTGGTTAATGAGTTAGTCTATCCATTTTTTGTTTTGGTTTAATATTTTGTTTAAATTTAGCTCATGATTTCTCACAAAATATTTTGTTATAATAATAAATTTATCTAAAAATTATTAATAGCTAAATAAATATTTTGTATGGTGTTAAATATATTTAAGTAACATTTTTTCATTCAAAATATATGTAAATTTTATTTTGTTGGTTTGAAATAAAATTCTACAAAATTTATAAAAATTAAGTGTATATTGGACGCATCTAGCGCAAAATTTACCTCGAATTTCCCGAGGAAACTCGAAGGATGTCTCCAGTGGTGAATTGAAGGAGCTGAATAATACTACCGGATACAACAATCTTGTTTTTCACCAAGCTTGTCAGATCATTCTTAAGTAATCCTCGTATCTCATGCCCCTGCCCGTCTGTTAACCACACCACAGCCGCTTCACGTCTGTTAACCACAACAATCGTCGGTTTCAACACATGCAGCACCGGCATCATTTGTATTTCGGACCTCACATCTCCATTAACAAGTTTCTCAACTGCTCCCGCCGTCAGAAAGTTCATCTTATCGAAATAATAAACAAAAACTGAAAAAAGAAACAACCTTTGGGATGCGGCAACAGTATTAAGTACTCGCCCTGTAAAAAGAAAAAAAACAATACACAAACAAAGAACAATAAGAACAGACAAAACAATACACAACAAAGAACAATAACTACTATCATAACTTGCAACTAAGTGATTGCTTTCTTCATAGCAAATTCACATCTTAACAATTGTTGCTTAAAAGATTTAATCAATTAAAGATCGTTGACAAAATCCTGAAGTATACATTCATGCTCTTTAAGCTTCAATCAAAATGCCGTGGAACACTACTAGAACAGAAAACAATAATTCAACAAGGCATGAAAATTTGCAGGTAGAATGGTTAATATCAGAAAAATAATAAAATTAACCCCTTAACAAGTCTATGCTTCCAGAGGTTAACACTAACTAATGCCTGAACCAATTAACAGAACAACTCGAAATCCTTAAATCAAAGGCCAAAGAAGAGACATGACGAACTTCAACATCAAGCGTATATACATTCAACTTTAATCTCAAAGAAATTCCAAGCAAGACAATCACCAGCATCTTTGATTATAACCAATTAATACCCAAAATTATTCACTACATTATAATGGTCATCAAGAACAGAAAACTGTCCATTTTAAGACAATGAACACAAAACTAAAAGCTTATGAGCTACAACCTAGAAAATCCAAAAATCCATGAGAAGAACCAGCATAAAAACCAAGAGAAATCCACGGAATCGATATGATAACCGAAGATAAGGACTGAAATAATGAAATTAATGAAAGAATCGAACAATCTGAAGAAACCAGCATCACATCTAAGGAAATAATCGAACAATCTGAACACGAATTAACGATAGATTGAGGAGTACAAATAAAGAGGTAGAGAGACATGAAGCGCCTATCACTAAAGATTGTTCAGATCATATTTGTGTCTGCAACACGAACACAAAACCAGCGGTAGCGGTAGTGACATCCTTAGCAAGTTCATCCATAAATTCAACTTCAACAAGTATTTGTGCATTTGTAAGCACTCTTGATTCAGCTGCAATGTCTTGCTTCAACCATTGCTATGTACACATCAAAACCTCAACCATATAGGGAGTTCAGCAGCTCCTAAAGTCATCTATTAGCATACCACTATTGCTGAAAGCAGTTTCAGATGCTACAGATGACACTTGCATAGCGAAGACATCACGAGCCATCTCTGATAAAATAGGAAACTTGCCACAGTTGACTTTCCACCAAGAAATAATATCAAAGTCAGTCCCCATCATAATATTCGGATTCTCAACTTCTTCTTGCAAATATGTAGTCAACTCATCCTTTGATACTTTAACTCTTATCCCAGTTAATGTTGACTTGTATCGTTTATCAGTTGTAAAAAATCGAGGAGTACTAACTTGCTCACTCATTTCCATTCTCTCTTCAAACTGAGATGACTGAGATGGCAGAGACTGAGATGACTGGGAAGACTGAGATTTATTATACCTTTCACTATACTCACTGAACATATCAACCACAATATTACTTACTTTCTCATACATAAGT